CTGAACTACAAGAGTCAGGGGGAAAACTGAAGGGGAGAATGCAGGCTAGCCAGGGAATGGAGGGAACAGTGGACCTTTCCCAAGACACTGTAGTGAAATCTGCTGCCCCAGCAGATGAGACTCCATTTGATTCTTTTTCAGAAAAGCAACTGTCCAAAGAGAGAAACCAGGAAGTGCCTGATGACTCTTTGTCTCTATCAGAAAACAGAAGTTTAGCAGTAACTATGCCAGCATCACTTCGGAGGGCATCGAATGCCTATCGTACCGAGGTTAAAATACCACTTAAGGGAAAGAATTCCAAGCAAGATGGCCAAGTTCCGGCAGATGCAACGATTGCTATTGTCCCTAGGGAAAATGTGTTTTTCCAGAAAACTGTACAGGGTAACCTTCTATCAACTGAAGCCCCGCTTCCCGGAAAAGAGGAGGTTTCTCTGACACAGGCCAAGGCAGATGAGAGAGAGACTGGCTTCGACAGAGACGGAGATGCAGGAGGGGTTTCCAGAGCAAGTGTCACCTTCAGTAGTGGAAGCGGAGAAATGGACGTACCGCTCAGATCCCAACGAGCAAGCACCCCCCTAGTGGAACAGGAAACCCCTCCTCGAGTAAGCCAAGTCGAGCTGATACTTGCCGCTCATCACAGTGAGGATGATGAAGATGCCAGGAGTTTTGGATCTGATTTTTCCGACGAGAGCATCCATTCCCTTGCCGGAATCAAAAGAAGTTCAACGTGTGAGCAGTTTTTGAATTCTTAATTTTATCACTGTGGAATGATTTAAGTTTAAAAAAAATTATCTGAACATTTATCCTTAGTCTCCAAGGAAAGAAGTTATTCATTTTGGAAAGTTTTGGGTATCGCTTCTGCGAGATGTTTTCCCAAATGTTTGCCGTATGAGCCATGAGGGTTTTTTAGAGTTACCGCAGAAGGCGCATGTTAGTCTATGCACATAAAGATAGACATTTTCAGAGGGTAGCCATGTTGGCCTGTAGTAGAACAGCTAGATTCAAGTCTAGTAGCCCCTTAGAGATCAACAAGATTTTCATCAGATACTGATATCGGCTTTCAGTACTGACTAAAGGAGCTTTGACTCCCGAAAGCTCATATCCTGAAAATCTACTTGGGTGCTACTGGACTCGGATCTAGCAAAGATAGCCATGCATTTCCTCCCCCTAAAATGGCAGGCATCCTCTTTTGCAATTGTCAGGAAGCACAGTTAATAATTGCCCCAGTGTCCTGTTCTCCATCCTGCCTGGTCAGTCAAGGCTTGGGAATGGGACTGTGCTTTCCAGGCAAAGGTGATACATCAGGAATTGCTTCATGGTGTACCGGTATCCTTTCCCAAAATGTGTCACTGCCCATAGACTGGCCCTAAGATGGGGTCAACACTGCACAAGGTTTCCATGTGCTTGGGAGAATGCCATAGTAGATTATTCTAACATGGTGAGAAACTCCCCCTCAGGGCCCATTTTGGCCGTTGTTTTTGTGGTACACAAGGGACTGTGGCTCAGTGGGAAAACATCTGCTTGGCATGCAGAAGGTCCTAGGTTCAATCCTCTAGTGAAAGAATTAGTAGATTGTGTGAAGGACCTCAGCCTGAGACCCTGAAGAGCTTGCCGAGAGTCTGAGCAGACAATACTGTCGTTGATGGTCTGATTCAGTAAAGGTAAAGGTCTCCCTTGCTCGAAAGCCAGTCGAGTCCGACTCTAGGGTTGTGGTGCTCATCTCCGTTTCAAAGCCGAAGAGCCAGCGCTGTCCGAAGACATCTCCGTGGTCATGTGGCCGGCATGACTAAACACCAAGGCGCACGGAACCCTGTTACCTTCCCACCAAAGTGGTACCTATTTATCTACTTGCCATTTCTTGCTTTCGAACTGCTAGGTTGGCAGGAGCTGGAACTAGAGACGGGAGCTCACTCCGTCATGCGGCACACTCGGGTCTCGAACTGCTGAACTACCGACTTTCCACAGCCTGCAGTTCAGTGTCTTAACCACTTGAGCCACTGCAGTATGAGGCAGCTTATTTTTACTCCCCTAACAAAAGTGCTAACTCAGGTGTGAAATGAGAGTGTTCCTGGGATTCTGTTTCTATTGCAGTTAACCCTCTTGGGACTGGGCAGCTTCTGAAGCTGTCTTCTTAATCTGAACAAAGACTTGTGTGTGTATCTGTAGCCACACTTCAGTTATTCAGTGATGTAGTGTGATATGATTTTGAAGTTGAAAGGAACATGGCAGATAAGGTACTGTGGGTGCAGGCCTTCTTCCCCTCTGCTAGAAGCTATCTGGGTTTGGATCCAAAGGCCAGTTTCCGCGAGCAGAAGGTGATTTTCACCAATTTCCCATTCTCATGTCAGATTCCTGTTCACCGTTCATGCTCTTCCTGCCCCAGGTGCAGCACTTGGGAAATCAGTGCACTAGGAGAGGGAAGGCAAGAAAGTTCTGTTCTGTTGGAGGACATGCCTTCGGCCTGTGGAAAACTACCATTGGAACCCAACCAATGTTCCCTCTAATTCCCACCCCCCCTACTGAGCGGAGCAGTTCACATCTTGAGCAAAATATAACTGCTGTAATCTTAAAATGGGCAATGGGCATATTGCTGCTGAGCAGGGCTTCTTGGTTAATGAGCGTCTGCTCATGCGCACAGCTTAGAGGAAACACTGATCCCAACCCTCTTTTGTTCTTCTCTTTGAGAAAAGACATACCTCTCTAATAGGGATGGGCACGAACTAGGAAAATGTGGTTCGTTTTGCGGTTCGTGACATGTCCAGTTCATGAATCATGAACTTTTAGCAGTCAAACTAACTGGTTCAGTTCATGAGGTCCGTGACCCAGTAGAACGGATCCTGTGCAAGCTAGAGACATCAAACTCACAGGGAATGTCCAGTTGACTCTCCTCTACCTGCCCAAGTTTGGTAGTGATTGGATTAATGGGCTCCAAGTTACAGCCCCCCCCCCGAGGGTGCCCCCAGGAAAGTGCTTTCTGGGGAAATGACAGGTGGTCATTGACAGGCAGTCATTTCGACAGACACAGATTCAGAAGGTTCAGGAGTATAGAGAACGGATCCTGTGTAAGGTAGAGACATCAAAGTCACAGGGGACCTCCCCCGGATGCTCCTCTACATCCCCTCCAAGTTCCACTGCCCTGTTGCTTTGAAGTTTTATAAACATTTAGATTGAGCAGGGTCTGCCTGGAAATGTATCCGTTCACGAATCGTCATGAACCTCCGCAAACATCTTGAAAGTTTCTGGAAAGTTCATGCCAGTTGACCTGCCATAAATGTGACTTCGCAAACAGCCTGAATTCATCATGAAATTTCCTTCGTGAGCTGGTTTGTGCCCATCCCTACTCTGTAATAACTACTTTATAGCTGACACAAGGCTGCTGCTAAAAATAGACAGCCCCATGTCAAGAATGCCCCTCAATTACTTACTCTACTTTCTGTTACTGTGTGTTTTCTCCCTCCCCCTTCAGTCAACAGCTGCCAGTGAGTCAGGGAGAAGAGAGATCCGGGGAGGGCCCGGGAACAAAAGATCTACCTTGTAGGTGACTCGAGTGTGCTTCAGAGGGGATTGGGAAACCCCAAAGACCAGTCATGATAGTGCTTTAAATGAACCCAGAATTGAGTTCAGTAGCAGCTCAGAGACCAACAGAAAGGGAGGGCAGGGAGGGTTGCCTCAGTGCTTAGTTCTTGTGGCCCTTTCTTACACACCACACACCCAGGGAAATGCTGAACGCCACTTTGGGGTCAGGAAGCAATTTTCCTCCAGCCCAGTTTGGCTGTGGATCCTGGAGGTTTTTGTCATCTTCTGGGCATGAAATAAGGGTCACTGGGTGTGTGTTGGGGGTGTTTGTGAATTTCCTGCATTGTGCAGGGGGTTGGACTAGATGACCCTGGAGGTCCCTTCCAGCTCTATGATTCTAAGGTGCTGCTGGACTCAAATATTGCTGTTCTGCTCCAGAGCAACATGGCTACCAAGTGAAACTCTCTTAATAGAATCCAGTTATCATTGGTTATCATGCTGTTTAGGTTTGCCATTGCTTTCCTCCCAAGGAGCAGGCGTCTTTTAATTTCATGGCTGCTGTCACTGTCTGCGGTGATCTGGGACCCCAGGAAAGTGAAGTCTGTCACTACTTCCATGACTTCCCCTTCTATTTGCCAAGGAGTGATGGGGCCGGATGCCATGATCTTAGTTTTTTTGATGTTGAGCTTCAAGCCCACTTTTGCGCTCTCCTCTTTTACCCTAAGTAAGAGGCTCTTTAGGTCCTCTTAACTTTTTGCCATTAGAGTGGTATCGTCTGCATATCTGAGGTTGTTGATCTTTGTCCCTTGGACTGCAAGAAGATCAAATCAGTCAATCCTAAAAGTAATCAACCCTGACTGTTCCCTGGAAGGCCAGATAATGAAACTGAAGCTCAGATACTTTGGCCACCAAATGAGAAGGGAGCACTCCCTGGAGAAGACCCTGATGCTGGGAAAGATTGAAGGTCAAAGAAGACGGGGACGGCAAAGGATGAGATGGTTAGATAGTGTCATAGATGCAACGAACATGAAATTGAGCCAACTTCAGAGGACGGCAGAAGACCGGAAGGCCTGGCGTGATCTGGTCCATGGGGTCGCGAAGAGTCTGACTCGACTGTGCGACTGAACAACAAAAAAAATCATTGGTGATAGTCAAGTTTTGAGGCAGGGAAGAATTGCCGTTCTGGGTGCTATCCACTGATATCTGCCTGAGAGTTCCTCCTGCATCCCCTTCTGTGATGCCAGAACACAACAACCCAGCTGGGTAGGACTAAAGCAAGTCTTTTAGTCCAGGGCACCCGCCAACACCTTTTCTGGTGCCCACCAAGTGGAATGGATCTGCAGGATTCAGTTGGTTAGCTTTTATAAGGAAAAGAGATAAATAGCTTTTGAAAAATCATAAATAGCAATAAGAGATGCACCATCTGCTATTGCTGAAAGAATACCCATGGTTGAACCTCAAAAGGTTCTTCTATATACTAATGCAGAGCTTCTGAGAGATCCAGAAGGGCTTTCTGTCAGTCAAAATGTAACTACTGGGTTGTCCAGGTTGGTCCAGGAAATGGCATTGCCTTTTAAATGTTTCTGTGGTATCATCCGGACCCCAAATGCGGTAACATTTGAACTCTGTTCTGCATTATCATTACCAGTTTGGTGTAGTGGTTAAGTGCACGGACTCTAATCTGGGAGAACCGGGTTTGATTCCCCACTCCTCCACTTGCACCTGACGGATGACCTTGGGCGAGCCGTAGTTCTGATAAGAGCTGTTCTTGAAAAAGAGCAGTTTCTGTCAAGAGCTCTCTCAGCCCCACCTACCTCACAGGGTGCCTGTTGTGGGGAGGGGAAGGGAAAGGAGTTTGTAAGCCGCTCTGAGACACCTTTGGGTAGTGAAGGGCGGGGTATAAATCCAATTTCCTCCTCCTCCACCACCTGCTAGAACTGTCTGGGGGCTGGCAAGAGGGACCATACCTTTTAAAGACTTGGATTTTTTAAAAAAATTGAGCTTCACTTGCGCGAGACCCAAAATGTCTGTGCTTTGTGCAGTGTTCATGTATTTTGTCTTAAAACAGGTTCGGCAGAAGACCCAAACCCTGTTCTGGAGGCTTTGAAAAGGAGTTCAAATAGGCAAATTCCTTCCAAAAGTCTAGAGGACATACCATCAGCCACATCAAGTGAGCAAAAAGTTTGTCTTCCGTGTTCGTGAAGGGGTCCCCCACTTAAAATGCTTCCCCCCCTCATCCACGCATCTCTGTTAAGTAGTTCTTCAAAGCGACCTTTGGAAGGACTGAGTGCCCATATCTACTTAGTAAAAATTGATTCAGTATTTGTACATTTGGTGCTCTGCTGAAACCATGTGAAGTCAGTTGTGGACACATCAGTTCTACTAACTGATGTTGCGAAGGGGTTCCGGGATGAGCTCTTTGCTCACATGCTGCTTCTAGCGGGATCTCCCCAGTCCATTTTAACCCACTTTGCACTTCCAGTGCCATGGGCCAAGTGAAGCTGGTGGTGTGGCCCTCTCCTGGCACTACACATACCCCTTTGTAATGTCTTGCGCTGTCTAGGTCTGCTCGATGTACAGCTTGCATGGCTCCCACAGGCACACCAGCGGTGGGCCTGATGGAGAAACAAAGCAGCAGGAAGTGCCATCAGGTCACAGCCGACTTATGGCAAACCTGCAGAGTTTTCAAGGCAAGAGGTGAGCAGAGTTGGTTTGCCATTTCCTGACTCTGCATAGCGACCCTAGACTTCCTGGGTGGTCCCTGATTCAAGTACTGACCAGGGCCAGCCCTCCAACTGGAGAGCCAGTTTGGTGTAGTGGCTAGGAGCTCGGACTCTAATGTGGGAGAACCGGGTTTGATTCCCCGCTCCTCCCCATGCAGCTGCTGGTGTGACCTTGGGTCAGTCACAAGTTCTTTTGGAGCTGTTCTCTCACGAGCAGTCCTCGAGAGAGCTCTCTCAGCCCCACCTACCTCATAGGGTGCCTGTTGCGGGAAGGGAAAGGGGAAGGAGATTGAGATTGTAAGCCGCTCTGAGACTCCTTCGGGTATTGAAGAGCAGGGTATAAATCCAGTCTCCTTCTCTCTTCTCAGCTTCTGAGGTCAGGGCAGTGTTCCCTCTAAGCTGAGTTAGTGTGAGCCAGCTCACAGTTTTTTAGCCTCCAGCTCACACATTTCTGCCTCAGCTCAGGGAGGATGCCTCCAGAGCAAACTAATTTATGCAGCAGCCAAGTCACTCGCTCACAACTTGAATGCCAGTAGCTCACAAGGTAGAATTTCTGCTCATAAGACTCCACAGCTTAGAGGGAGCATTGGGTCAGGGATGTAGAAACATCACCCTGGATAAATGTGACCATAGCTGAATGATAGAGCAGGTTTTGAGCACGCAGAAGGTCCCAGGTTCAGTCTTTGTATCTGTACTGAAAGAAGCTCCAACAGGAGGTATTGGGAGAGGCTAGAGATGGTTAGACAGTGTCATAGATGCAACGAACATGAAATTGAGCCAACTTCAGAGGACGGCGGAAGACAGGAAGGCCTGGCGTGGTCTGGTCCATGGGGTCGCGAAGAGTCGGACTCGACTGTGCGACTGAACAACAACAACAAGCCTCTGCCTGAAACCCTGGAAACCCACTATAAGTCAGGGTAGACAACACTGAGCTAGGTGTCAGATGAAGGGAGCATTGACTCTCAAATGCTTAAGCCCCGAAAATCCTGCGGGTCTCTAAGGTGCTGCTAGGCTCAAATCCCGCTCGTCTACCTTTTGTGCATTTGCTATTTGCTGCGGTCCTGAGTTTTGTCTTTTCCCCCCACTTCCTAGAGGTTTCTGTTGAGAGCCCGTAGTGACTTCCTGAACGGCGGAATGTCTAACCATGTCACCATTTTCCCCCCTTGCACAGATGAAGGAAAAGTAAACACTCGAAAGGAAGACTTAGTGCTTAGTGCCGAAGATGGTAACTATTTTATTTTGTGCCTGCGTGAATGTAGCTCTCTGCTTGTTAGTTCTCAGTAGACAGGCATTTTTTTCCTATCCTTCCTGGTTGCCGGATTTTTAGGTAGTCGGGCATTGCATGGCTTTAGAAGTTTATGATGCTCAGCTGCATTTTGGGGTACATGGTCTCAGTAGCCCCTCTGTACACAGCCTGTGCTGCTCGTTGACTTGAATGCACAGAGAGGGTGAGTAGGAATGGAGTGTGTTGGCCCCTTCCTTATAGCAAGCTATGACCAGTAATGTTAAGTGGCAGCTCAAGCCACACTGATCTCAGTGGGACACAATGCATGCGTAACAAAAACTGTATTTCAACCTTCTTATCTAGATCTGGTTTCAGAGTAGCTTCCAGGAAATGAGTGAAGGTGTCAGGGTAGTGGCTTTTGAGCTGTGTGCTGGGGAACATTGGATTATCATAGTGAGATTAATAAGGGCCAGTGACCTGTCCCGGAAGCACAACTGTGTTACTATGTATATATAAGGCAGCCCTAGCCAAGGGGCTTTCAAGGAGAGCAAGAAGCAGAGGTGGTTTGCCATTGCCTTCCTCTGCAGAACCTTCCATGGTGGTCTCCCTTCACTTGCGACATGGCTTGCAAAAGACGTTCCCTTTAAATGTCTTTTTCCCCCTCCATTGAAACCAATGGAGGATGGGGGCACCTTCTTTGGGGGCCCATAGAATTGGACCCCCTGGTCCAATCTTTTTGGAACTTTGGGGGGGGGGGTTTGAGGTGAGGCACCAGCAGCTATGCTGCACATTTGGTGCCCTCTACCTCAAAAAACAGCCCCCGCAGAGCCACCCAGATCAATTCTCCATTATACCCTGTGGGGACCATTGACTATAATGGTCCCGATAGGGAATAATAGATCCCAAAAAATTGGGAATTCTGAATATTTACTGAATTCGAATACCATACCAATACTGGGATTCAGGAATATCAGGAAATACCAATATTTTTCGGGTTCAATATACCCGAACCCGAAAAATACCTTTTTTTTTTTGCACATTCCTACTGAGGATGTGAAGACGCCCAGCAGGAGGAGAAAGAAACACTAGGAACAACAAGTCAGATGCAGATGCATTTCACTCTGTGGAAGAGTCTCTTGCATTAGGGAAGGCTTCTTATGATGGAAGGAAAGCTCCACTGTTAGCAGAATGGAGTCCAACCCCATGTTTGCCACAACTCTGTGATCATAGTACCCCTATAATCTGTTGAATGTGACAGCGTTCCTTCATGTTGCAATTTTGACCAGATCAGAAAGCCGGCCGACCGCGCACAACCACACCAGGAAGTGAGTAGTAATGAGGTCCTTCCTGCCACCGCTGGCTACCGCTTCCTGTGGTCTCTTGACTAACCTGTAATATTTTGGAACTTGTCTCGTGTTCTTTGTTGTCGCTAGCAACTTGTGTCTTTAACTGTGCACTGACAGCAGCTCGTGCCTCTATTCTACAAGGTGCAATTCCAGTCCAGGTTCGCTGATTTACTGCGGAATTCCTCGAGCTGAGTGGGTGGATTGTTTTTAGAGGCAAACCCCACTTACGGCTTTTGTAATATCAGATCATACAAATATAACTGGGAAGCCAGGGCAGGAGAAAAGCGGGTAGGAGGTGTCTGGAATAACTGTCATACGGTAGTGTGCAAGGGGCAAAACTAGGGGCGATTCGGCATCTAGCATTTGCTCCACATTTTCTCAACTGGGAGGAAAATGTGCAGCTCAAAACCACATTCAAATACCTCAGGGCAATGTTGTACTGACTGCAAAGTCACTCCTGAACGGCCGTAAAATGGACATACATCTATGCAGAAGGTACCGTAAAACCCGATGATCAAAGGAAGCGAAAGCAGCATGGAGTGTGGAGGCTACCATAAAATCCGATGATCAAAGGAAGTGAAAGCAGCATGGAGTGTGGAGGCTACCATAAAATCCGATGATCAAAGGAAGTGAAAGCAGCATGCAATGCAGAGAGGAACGGAGGGGAAAGCCCAATGCAGAATCAGCCTAGGAAGCAAAATATGATACTGCAGGGACCTTTGGTGTGCGTTTATGTGTTAGGTTTGGTTCCCTGGTGTTGGGGGAAGATGCTGGGGTTTTGTTTGGCAGAGGCACCGGTGGATATCTAATGCAGTGGCAGCTGGGCCACGTGGCTTCATTGGCAAGCTCAGCTTCCACCACAAAATTTGTGACCAAGGGGGAACGTTTTTGCCGTTTTTCCAGTTAGAATGACAGCCGTTTATGTCTGTGACAGACTGTCTTTCCCTTATTGGGTCATTTTTACAAAAAAAAAAATGTGGGCAAGAACGACAAGTGTCTAAGCACTAAGTAACGTTACGGCAGCACTGGAATGGACTTGTGAACTGCGAATCCACCACTGTGATTGTACAAAACTGGGATACTCGGAAGACCACAACTACAGTGGAATATCTAGAGCAGATATCCCCATCCTTTTTGAGCCTGTGGGCACCTTTGGAACTCTGACATTTTGGGGGGCTCAGGCACAAAATGGCTGCCACAGTTTACCTCAGATACGCAGCGAAGGTCCTTGGGCCACAATGGCTGTTGCTGCCAAAGCAATGTTTTTTTAAAAATCTGAACAGCCAATCAGATCTTCCGTGACCAATTAGAAGCCTTGCTGGGCATAAGCCTTATCTGGCTCCACCCACTTTCTAAAAACACTTGGGAATCACTTATCTAGAGAGTCACTGTGACAAGAGTATACAGAACGTCGAGCCTTAATAAGGGGAACGAGCTTTAGGGAAGCCTTTGCACATTATTCAGTGCAAGCCCAGGTTTGCGACTGAGGGCCGAAGTATGTGTGATGCTGATACAGATCACAGTTACCACATTTGAGAAGGGAGGGTTAATCTCTTTTCCCTGAGCTGTCTCCTTGGTTTGAAATGCCCTCTACCAGCTTCCAGACCCTTTAAGGAAAAAGAGGTGCCTGTATCGTGCCTGTCTTTTCCCCACTACCCCTCCTGGGCTAAAAACAGCTGGGGAAGAAGTATTTCCAACTGGGGCAGCATCAAAGATAAGTTAGCCACCCCTTCTCCAGCACTGTGGACCCAATCCGTATTGGGGGAGGGGTCACCGCTGCTTTCCAGGGCCCACTTACACCTAACAGACATACACATGGACCTTCCACCCTCTAGTAGTGTTTGGCCCTGAGTCAACAATTCCAGGTTTGATAGCGTTGTTACTCACACAGTGACGGAGCGTTTTATACTTTCTTGCATCCTCTTTCTGCGCTTACAGGTATCTTGTGAAGGATAAACTGTCACACTTTGGGAATGTTTGGCCCGTACCCATATCAGTAGCAATAACAGTGGTGTGCAGGGGTATTTTGGGGCAGGAACGCACAGGAACTGAGTTCCAGCTGGCTTCAGAGTTGGCCACGCCCACTGCAGCCAAAACCTCTGCGTGCCTGGCTACAGAGGGAAGGCCTGGAGAGCGACACCCGCCCCTGGTGACTCCGAGGTGGGCGGGCCAGGGGGCCCCCTGGAAGGATCGGAATTTAAATGCCTCCACGTGCATTCCCTGGCCTGTCCAAGGGCCAGCTTGCCTGGGCTCCCCGCAGCCGCGGGGTGTCCGGGCAGGACAAGGGAAGGCAGTTCCCTCCAAGGCCCAGCTTCCCTTCAAGGGCCGGGCAAGCCAAGGAAAGGCATGGGGGTGTGGCCTAATATGCTAATGATCTGTACTGTCGGGGTGAGGCCTAACATGCTAATGAGTTTCCGTTGTTGGTTGTGGCCTATTGTGCTAATGAGTTCCTGCTGGGCTTTTTCTACAAAAGAAGCTCTGGTGGTGTGTATCCACCTACCTCTTGGTAGAATAAACCTTGGTAGAACACCTGGAAAGAGGATGGACAGATTGTTCCTCCATCCTCTGCTGAGCTTCCGTGTAGCATGCATTTCAGCTCCCGGCTGGCGAGTTTTGCATGTCGACATTGTGTATGCATGTAACTGTCTCTGTGTGTTGTTTTAAAAGCAGTTTATGCCTGTTAGCCTTCCTGTCCTAGAAGCCAATTAACTCTCACTAAACATGGATTGCTACTCTTCAGTCTCCACAGCACCTTCTTTCCCCGTTAACCAGTTCTCCAACCCAGAGAAAGTCAAAGGGATGAGCAAATCGGTTCCTACGTTTCTACAGGAGGAGGCAAGTTCTTTTGCATATTTTTTTTGGGAATGTTTTGGTTGCTGGCACATTCAGGAGAAAGCTGAAATTATAGGGGCTTCGGTTTCCCAAAGCACTTTACTTCGCTAGTTCCAGAAGTTGATTTTGGAGGAAATTTCCCTTGGTGTGGCACACTATGGTTTGAATTGGATGTGGCCTAAGTTGGGAGAGTAACAAGGGTAGAGGATGGTAATTTTGGCTGGGGGAAGGAGTGTGGGGTTGTTGCCTTCCACTCCGGCCCTATAAATTATGTGGCTTGTTGGAAGTCTGCTTGTCATAAAAATATCAGTGATCCTTCTAGGAAGTTTGTCAAGGAGCCCAAACCTGACCCCCCTGGATTCCCAGGGCTAGTGTGCACAAGAAATCTGACTATGCTATTTTTTATATAGAAAAACAAGGAAGCAAACTTTCAGTCTAACACATTATTACCTTGTTATCAGATGGCACAGTCTTCAAGTCTCAGAATCAAAGAGAGAGGCTTAAGCGCTCCCTATGCAGCCAACCAGACCTCAGTCCACCAGAATCATGAAGTTAGCGTGGTTTCTCTCTGGCTCCTAGCTCAATTATAGTCCCGAGCCATCTGGTGCCACGTGATGGTTCAAATCCAATCACAACACGTTCTCACTGGAACCTTCTAGAAGGTTACATGTAGTCAGGAAGCCCCCCCCCCCTGAAAAAAAGGAAGGCCCAATTACTGACATCTGCAAGCTGGAATTGGCCTGTTAGTATCCACATTAACCCTTGGGAGGAAATGGGTGCTTTGCCTCACAATGTTCCTTTTCTGTTGATCTGTGCAAATAAAAATGAAAGTGCTATGTATGCTACTACTTCATGCATGGATCATAGAGTTTTACAGAAGAACATGAGAGGAGCCCTGCTGGATCTGACCCAGTGGTCCATCTAGTCCAACATCCTGTCTCACACATTAGCCAACCAGTTCCTTTGGAGGTCCAACAACAGGGCATAGAAGCCAAGTTCTTCATAAGAACGTAAGAAGACCCCTGCAGGATCAGGCCAGTGGTCCATTTAGTCCAACATCCTATCTCACACAGTGGCCAACCAGTTCCTCTGGAGGTCCAACAACAGGGCATAGAGGCCAAGGTCTTCATAAGAACATAAGAGGATGCCTGCAGGATCAGACCAGTGGTCCATCCTATCCAGCATCCTGTCTCAACCAGTAGCCAACCAGTTCCTCTGGAGGTTCAACAACAGGGCACGGAGGCCAAGACCTTCCTCTGATAAGAACATAGGAAGAGCCCTTGCTGGATCAGACCAGTGGTTCATCTAATCCAGCATCCTCTCTCACACAGTAGCCAACCAGTTCCTCTGGAGGTCCAACAACAGGGCATAGAAGCTGAGGCCTTTCCCAGATAAGAACCTAAGAAGAGCCCTGCTGGGTCAGTCCAGGGGTCCCTCTAGTCCAGCATCCTGCCTCTCACAGGGCAGAGAGGCTGAGGCTTTCCCCTAATGCTGTGTCCTGGGTCTGGAGTACAGAGGTTCCTTCCTATTCTGTAATTCCTTCCAGAACAGTCATTCTCAGGATTTTTGGGCACCACATAGAGGAATAGCCATATGGTTTGGGGAGGGCTGGAA